TAAATATTAATTTGGGTACGAGATTGTTGAAGATTAATTTAATCTGTGGCATGTAATTATAGGCTTTTAACTGTATCTGTTACAAATATAATTGCCGCCATAACTTATTTGTTAAACACTCACAGATTATATAAAAGAATTTGATTTATTAATTGGGAATAATGAAATTGCTTTAAAAAAACCTAAATAATGTATATTTTCTGAAATTCTAAGTGTTTTTACTCGTTAAAATTTATCTTTTAATTTAAACTTAAATTAAAATATTTTTTATAATATCAATGTTCTTAGAATATATCTTTATGATTACGATTTTGTATATAATTTTAACATCATCTAATAGCTTAATAATATAAGCTTATAAAATAATCTATGTAGGTAATGTTATCTTATATTCCATCTCTTTCATTCAGCTTATATTTATATTTTTATCTCTTTCTTCTCAAACGCTAACGGTTAAGGCGAAGCCACTTTCAATCTTACGTACAGAAACAATTTTATCTCTCGTACAGTCAATGACGAAATTATTTAATAATTACCTGATTATAATTCCCGTTTAATTTCAAGTATATAGATTCTGTAGTAATCGCATTAAGTTACACGCAACCGCGTTAAAATTTCAATAATTAGTAAATACGACTTTCGTCATATTATAATCTAAATTCTTACTTGGATTTGTACTGAAATTCTACTATTATATTATAAAGAAAAACAAAGGTAATATTCTATATTTATTTATGTATCTATAAAGTCATAAATTTTAAGATATTTTAAGATATAAACGTTTAAAACGCTGCCATAACTCATAACCTTCGAATAGTACATAGTGACATTTTGTGACAGCTGTAGAATGAATGTTACAACAAATAAATACAAAACAGTATCATGTAATTCCTATCATAGTTTATTTGTTAATATTATATCAATGTTATATGTATTGAATTATTTTGTTTACACAAACGATTTTACCTTAAAACTGTAGTTAAATAATAGCAGTTTATGTATTAAATGTAATGCTGCTACTAAAAAAAGCATCAACAGTCAAATAGCGCCATCTAGCGAAGGACTGTAATAACTTTTGAATATAGCGCATTTTATATGCCATTAAAAGCATTTTCATTTACTTTTTTATTTTTTACAATAAATTGTTTATTAGCTTTTCCTTTAATGGCCATCGTTGTGGTTTTATTAGTATTAATGTCGTAAATGATGTTTATTACTACATATTCTATTTTTATATTAAAATTACACTAAAACAGTGTTAAATTTGTTATATACATATATAAATGTTTTGTTGAAATTTCGTATTTCTATATATTTTCACGTTTAAAGAGATAGATTTTTGTTCAAAATTAAGTTCAAAAACAACTGTTATATGTATATTTTTATTAAAAATTAGTTTAAACATATGCAATCACTTGAGATATTAACTGTACATTTTAATGAAGCGATAATCAAGAAGATTGCGGAGTATCTTCCCGTGTATTTTTATACACGCTGTAAAAACATCATTAAGCATCATACAACATAACATGGCTTAGAAAGTTAATATAATACGTACGTCATTATGGAAAACATTAATTATACATGCTATATACAAAACGAAATTATACAATGTATAAATACAGTTGTTTCATATAAATGTATATTTATATAATGTATAAGTTTATTTTTATATATAAAAACGTGACCATTACAGTTAGTATTTGTTATTTATAATGAAGGACTCAATATTCATGGCAATTGAAGGGCGCACCTGTGACTCATAGATTGGTTTGTACAAACTTATTCATGCATTTTGTATCGTGTGATGTTTGATGAATAAATAAATGGTATTTATTGTAACGTATGAACCGCTATGAAAAATAAATGTATTACTTTCAAATCATATATATTTATATGATACTAGATTTTGCTTCGATTTCGTCTGCGTTAGTTTCAGAATTAGAAATGTATAGCTGACCGGGTGAACTCTATTCCTCCGTAAAGACAGTAGATAAAATTTTGGATTTGATTAATTCCTTTTTTTTTCTTTTTCAATAGGATGAAAAGTATCCTATGTCTTTTCCATTATTCTAAGCTATTTCTCTACCAATTCTCAGCCAAACCCGTACAGCCGTTCTTGAGTTATGAATAGTGTAACTAACACAACTTTCTTTTAAATATAAAAGTATGCTTTGAGTCAAAAGAGGGTTGACGTCAGGCAGGCGGCCGGTCGTAAAAACAAATAGCCAAAAACTATTCACAACAAGTAAGGCAGACCCTGGCTATAGCTGGGAAATTGCCAGGTAGAAGAAGAAGAAGAAGATAAAAGTATGCTTTGAATCGTTCTTTTTGCATCTTTGTAAGTTTTTTTACCGTACAAGCTTATCTAAAAAATGTGATATCTCTAGATGAAAGTTTCATCATCAAAAATAACATTGCCTTCCGCTATAGATAAAGGAATGAGGCTATTATCATTTGGTTCATTAAATTAATCAACCAATTTTTAGACTTCAAAAATATTGATTACTTACGTATTACTTTCAAACTAATGTTATATATTTAGATAGATAATCTATAGATGTAAATAGATATAGATAATAAAATTCCTATAATTTATATCTCATTGAACAATATAGACAAGTCAGTATAGAGTTGGAGCAATTTCAAACATAATTTCACGGATAGCAAAAGACTTTTTGTATGATTCGTTACACCTGGAAATTATCTGCCAGGTGTTATAACTTTTTGTTATCACCTGCAAAAAGTTAATTCATCTTTTAATCATTTAATAACGGTAAATAGTGTTTTTGTTGGTTAAGTTGATACTAACATATTTTTTAAATGTTTAGATTGAAACATCAACAATCCATTGAAATATTTTTTTTAATGTTGCCATTACTATTAAAAAGTAATAAAAGAAGGTCGAGTTTTAATTTAAATCATTTTAACATTGACATAATTGGTTTTACATTTTTATTGACTTTGTAAGTAGATTAGAAGACAATTTTAATCAAATACAAGATATAGCCAGCGGGTTTGCTTGAAATTAATATTTACTATGTATTATTTACTTTCTGTTAATAATATAAAAGATTTTTATGAAGTTTTGCTATAATAGTATATACAAGAAATATTAATTAAAACAAATAATTTTTGGTTCTTTGTACTCATTGTGTCTTAATATACTGTGGATATTAAAATTTAAATATTTAAGTTGTCTTAATTAAATATATCAAAATTAAAAACACATATAAATATATATGTATATATACAATGATATAACACTTCCGAATATCGTATTAGTACTATTTGAATAAATCTTCAAGTAAGTCTAATATAATAAATATAATAAATTAAAATGCTTGAGAATAATTAAGAAACTAACTTTTTTGCAAAGCTGAAGTGGCATCTAAGTAAGTAAGGCGTGCTATCATTTGAAGGATGGAGGGATACAAAGACTCATGAAGATTGCGAAGTCCCAAGCACCCTTGAAACTAGAGTATGCTAGTTGCTTCTATTGTGGAGACAACACAAAATTAGCCATGTTCCATTTATGTGAAATGTACACAAAAAGCTGTTCCACGTTACATTTAATCTTATATATAAAATTCTAGTGTCGCTATGTTTGTTCCCGTATATCTCCGAAACGACTTGATCGATTATTGTGAAATTTTGTGAGCATAATGAGTAGGTCTGAGAATCGGACAACATCTATTTTTTTTTACCCCTTAGTAATTAGAAATATCCACCATTTTTTTTTCTTTATTTTTGACGAAATTTCTTGTTTTTATTTTTTATGTTTTTACTTTTTAACACTAAGTCTTATTTTTTTATATGGCAAAATAATGTTTGACCTGTCAGCTAGTTTAATATAAATATAACATTAATTTTAAACCGTCTTCTTCGTTGTTAAAAATTGAAATGTTATTTAATTATATTTTTTACTTAAATATTAACTGCAATAATCAGTCAATGCTGCCAGTTTTATTGTCATTGAACACGCAACAATTTTGTTCTCATTTACAGAAACACAGATTGATTATGAAAAATTAATCTCAATTAAGGTTGGCAAGGGTTGTAAGAAACTGTTTAATTGTATTCATGCTACAGTAGGGTGCTTTATGTGATTGTACGATAAAAAATATTCTTTTTCACATCAAGAACGTGGACGTAAAATTATATAGCAATTTTATAACAGCGTTTCAAGTTGTTGTTGAGAAAAAATAAAATAAAAATAGTATAATAGATAGTATGAAACACTTAAGCACTAGGACTAGGAAAAGGCACTCAATTTTAATTGACCCACATAATAAATGTAGGTATCTCGCCATAGAGTGGAGCCCCATCTGCCATCATGGATCTCCATAGATGACGTAAACACGACCCCTTCCCCCCAAGTTCCCCATAAACAAGTTGAATGCGCTTCCCTGGTGCACGTGCGGCACTCAAGGTCTCCCAACCCTTTACACATCCTCTCAGGTTTGCAATTAAAACTAAAAACAGCCAGAAACAGACAGGAACAGACATACATAAACCACTCAAGATGAAAAGAGATGGCACGCCTCATTTACCAGAGCACTTTTTATTTCCACTTGCACTCAAGGGAGGTCGTCGGCCAATCAACGTACTGTGCCGCGCCCGTTCCCATTGGCCGGTTTGAATAAAGAATTATTTCAAAGAACAAAAGCTGAGGGTAGGTAATAGCGAGTTTTGTTTCCTTCGAGTGGCATTTCTTATTCGAGTGTCGAAGTTCGTACAGAGTTGACGTCTCGAAACTAATTACCTTAGCTTACATGCATTGTTTACGAGGGTGCTCTCACTAAGCTCACTTCATTTGAATTGTCAGATGATGTTTAATATTGTTATTCATAATACGGAACACGTTTCCGGCTCTCGAGCTACGTGGGTTTGCAGAACAAGCAAATTAGCTATGTTTATTTCACTAACGATCACCCTGTATACGATGTTTGCCAAGCTGGTTGTTTGCTACCATTCAGAAGTAAAGAGACACATTACTTATGAACATGTTCCCTAATTACGTATGTAAATTGTGTTGGTTCAAACCTCATACTACTATTTGATTGTGTTAATATTTAATTCAATATATTTGTTGTATGTAATGAGTTTTAAGATTGAGAAAGTCAGTTTGTAATCCATTGCTTGTTTTGTTCCAGGAACCTCGCAGCGCCGGTTAAGACGACGCAGTCATCAAACACGTCTTTGGAAACTTACTCGACATTGCAGAAAGAATCGTGCCACAGGTTGGATTTCTTGGTAGAGCGTCAGAAACAATTATGTATGCTATCCGACAAGATGGTTCAGGTAAGAAAAAATATTTTTACCTATACAGTACTTAAGTAACAAAGTATTGGACTATTACGGTATTAAATACTATCAAGAGTCCATTCTGGATAAAATAGTCCATATAAGTATCAACATTATTATAAATTCTTATTCAAATTGAACTTAAAGCTGTATACTTAAATATTATCAGTATTTTAATATGTTGCTTATTATGATCCTCAATAATGATCATATTGATTTGACTGTAAGAAGTTTCATACCATTTTTGTAATTCTATAGGCTCTATATTTTTTTCAATGATTTTTACTTTGATAGCATATAATTAAATAAAGTCAGTGGTGGCCTAGTGGTTAAAAGGCCCGCCTCTCATGCCTGAGAGCGCTGGTTCAATCCTGCCCCGGCAAGTACCAATGTGATTTTTCCGAGTTATATGTTCTTTCTAAGAGTATTTAGATATCACTGATTAATGCACTCCCAAAGAGGGTTGATGTCAGGCAGGCGGCCGGTCGTAAAAATAATTAGCCAAAACTATTCACATGTAAGGCAGACCCTGGCTAAAGCTAGGAAATTGCCAGGTAGAATAAGAAGAAGCATATAATTAAATATTCCTAACCTGATAATATTTTAGACATTAATTTTTTAGCTAGATTTCTTCGCTATAATTTTTATATATACCAATAAAAGATTAAATATCAGTAATTATAATGTGTTCTCATGTTAGTAAAGTATCGTATTTCCTTCAGTATTATACGGGAACAATTAAAAAAGGTTCATGATACCGCAATTACTTCGAAACTGAGTTGATAATTAAACGGCGACTTGTTTACGACATCTGGCAATTAATAAAATTATATATACAAGTGTTTTCCTCTTACGATAATAATTTTGATATATTTATGTTCAAGTCAAGGTTTTTATTACAGAAGTGTACAAAAAATTAACCTGTTTTTGTATAGATTTATTTTAGTTAAATAAATAGAATGATTTATGAACAAAATTAAATTTCGTTTTATCAAACTTTGGTAGTATAGACAAGGTTGCAATTTTTTTGTTACATAAAATTTCGGTTGTGGTGGCCTAGAAGTTAAAGGCCCGCCTCTCGAGCACGAGGGCGCGGGTTCGAAACCTAGGAAGTAACAATGTAATTTTTTTCCGAATCATATGTACTTAAGAGTATTTAACACCACTGACAGATGAAGGAAAACATCGTTAGGAAACCTGGACTTATAATTTCCAATTATAAGTTTGAAATCACCAACCCGTCTTACGCAAGCGTGGTGATTAATGCTCAAACCTTCTCCATGTGAGAAGAGGCTATGCTCAGCGGTGGGCTCTGATAGGCTTATAATGATTAATATTTCGTTATATTTTCCAGGTGTTGCAAACCGGGGCCCAGCAGGCAGTCGAAGAGTGTCAATATCAGTTCAGAAACAGCCGTTGGAACTGCAGTACCGTCGAGAATTCAACTGACATCTTCGGTGGCGTACTTAAATTTAGTTAGTATTTCAAAACAGTTATATAGGACTGGATTCTATGAAGTTTATATTTAGGAAATTTATTTGTTTGCCTGAAGATGAAATAATTCAGACTTCAAAATATAATGTATAATGAAGTTCATAGGAAAATTTCTATTTTTGAATTTATTTATAACTTTATAAAAAATCTATATTCTACATGTATATAAGTTAAATTGAAGTGTCCGTAATGAATATATGTATACCTCTGTAATAGGTAAACTGCTTTAGAAGGGACTTTTATTGTTAGGTAGCTGTTGTTATAAGGAGTAATTACGGCTACTTTTTATCCCGATCCCGAAATGAAGCGTTATCACTCGTTAGTGAGAGATATGGCGCATGCGGCGCTTAAAAGTTGATTCATTGTTTTTTTTTAGGCAGACGAAGTCGCGTGCAACAGCTAGTAGTAAAAAAAATTGCTTACTACATTAAAATAATTAATATAATTAAGTATTTTGCTTGCGATATATTTAGTGAACGAAAGAAAAAGTTGTGTTATTCTTAGATATCTATATATATGTTGAAGAATATAAATATATCCTACAGTGTAAGGAAGAAACTATGACATTTAACGTACAATATTACAGTGATATATAAAATGCCCTTTTCTATATCAACATATAAAGTACAGGTACCTAAAGTTAAGGCGAATTGTCCAAGTTAGTGTATGTAAATGTAGTGATTATTATAAATACCACATTTTAAGGAATGAGGCAATAAAATGTTACGAGACTGAAGCCGTGCTTTAAATAATAATTTGCTTTAAGTTCAAAGTAAAGCAAACCTTTGATGTTCGGAGGATAAGGATTGTTTATGTTTCATAGTTTGTTTGAGTGTTGTTCAATATTAACTATCTTTCACCTGTGGTTTCTCTCCACAATTTTTTACGATGAATATTTTGCGATAGTTTTTAGAATGATTTAATTTCAAACGAACAAACTGTCCTGTTATTTTAATATTATAAGGACGAAATCTCATAGCATTCATTGTATTCACGGTGCGGGTGTCGGGTCCATCGTTGTAGTGAGAGGAGCTTCAACAGTGACTGGGACTTTCGACCCAGTTGTAGGTTTAAGGGGACCCTATCTAATGCGTTAAACGCTCACCTCCACCATCCAAGCTTCTCTCTCTTCCTAACCAAATTTTATTCTCTGCGTTATCACGGAAGATATGAGTAATGTAAATGTCAAGATTAATGCGTTTTTAATGTAAAACATTTGTTAATAGAAAAGCTTTTCTCAAACCCCACGCTATAACAGAAATGATAAACGTTTGAAAATTAAAAACATACATTACTCCCAAACTTTTTCATTCAAAATTGATTTGAAATAAACGCTGTTTAAAATACATCTGTGTACTTCATGGTTGATGTAAATGCAAAAAGCATTGAAATCGTTCTGCTATAATAAAAAATGCGCCCGTATATCCACTTTAACACAAAGTATTTAAAAATACAATGAAATTTTTGAATGCAACAAAAACGAAGGATTCTTTATATCAAAGATTTATCCTTATTTCTGCAAGTCTTTAATTTGTTAATGATTTTTAAATTAGTTAGATGTTTAAATTTTCTTTGTAACTTTGAATATAAATTAATGAACAAAATTATGTTTAGGATAGGAGTTATAATGAAAATAAATTGATAAAAATATAAGCAACAAAATACAGTGTTATTTGATGGTCACAAAAATAAATTGTTTATGATAGTCGCCTAACAATGTTTCATGTCAGTGTATCGGGTGTACTTCAAGATTGTTCAAGGAATTTCTTCTTGATGTTTTGTTTATTTTTAAATGTCTATTCCTCGGATCACGTGCGCAGTCGTTGACGGAGCTTCTCAGTCTGTTTACAGTGTTCCACTAATAATACAACCAGTATAACATGATACCTAATACATCTTAACAATTCACATATGTTCGAATATCAGTTAATTATATTATATTGAAAGGGTCTTGGTTTTTGGATATACAAAAAGAAACGGTTCAGTGACCTCTTTTTTTTCTGGGACCGAAATTCTGTATATTTTTTTTTGTATTAATCAGAATTAATCGACTTAGATTTAATGAATACATAAGAAATATTTTATATTACGATCAGTTGGGTGTTTTTGGCAAAAATTCTGACTTTCCCAATTCTGTAAGATAAAAAAATTAAGGTGCTTTAAATTTCTTTTTGTTATGAGAGTATTATTTTTCAGAATCACGTGAATCAGCATTTGTCCACGCACTATCAGCTGCTTCTTTAGCCCATGCTGTGGCCAGAGCTTGCAGTCGGGGAGAATTGAATGAATGTTCCTGTGACGCTAGGGTTAGGAAACGTACTCCACGACATTGGCAATGGGGTGGATGCTCGGAGGTAAGAAGAAAAAATACACCATACAAAAAATAAAGAATAAATTAAGCTTAAACGTTGAGTAATCATTGTAGATCAAAAAGAAATGTCTGATGGTTATACAGACATATAAATAAGTATTTGTTTGCGATTTTAATGATAAATATTAGAAATATATATGGACTTAAAATTTACAGGATATAAGATATGGTGAGAAATTCAGTCGTGATTTTGTGGACGCCAAAGAGGATAAGGAATCTGAAGAAGGGATCATGAATTTGCACAATAATGAGGCTGGTCGAAGGGTAAATAATTATAATAACTATGATTTTTTTAGTATATTTTTTGTAGCAATTAAAATAGAAATCAACTTACTGTGTCCAAAGTAATGAAGTCTTTTAATTTATTTTTATATTTACTGGATGCTATAGTGATAATAAATATTATTTAAATGGGTATTTACAAAGTAATTGAATGCCGATAGCAATTCTATATAAAAGTTGAAATCTTCGTATGTTTTTATAAATTATGTAACTTGTAAAACACGAAATTTATCTTTCAATCGAGTCAATTATTTTAATTGCACCCATTTTTTATCCGCCACAAATACTTAAGTACATTTGGTCTATAGTAAATAGTAGTTTTGATTTCAAATCGTTGGAATCACGGATTTATTTTTATTTAGAGTAGTTTATAGAGAATGTATGTGTTAAGTTTTAAGTACGAGTAGTATGTGAGGTTACCTAATTTATTGCTATAGTATTATAGACATAAATATACATTTTTTAACCAAAATCAAATCAATATGAAAAAGGATTTAATATAATTTGATCATTATTTCATAATAGTTACTAACATCAAATATTCTTTGTCACGCTCACGTCTTTTAGGTGTTTTTTTTAAATATCGGCGAAAACATAAGGTAACTCGTGAGATTTGAAATATGGGATACAGATAAAGACCGTTTTCTAATTTTATCTTCAGAATAACTGCTCCATCACTCAGTTAATCTTCTATCAGTTACAAATAAACTTAATTATATCTTATTATAAACTTAGCGAGAGTAGATTAAAGACGGTTTTGTCAGCATTTAGACGTTAATTATTAGTTTTAAATTAGCTATGTCAAGCATTAGCATTATTATTATTGTCATCAATTAGAATGTGAAAAATAAATTATTCACATAACTGGATAAATGATTGATGTAAATTGAAAATAAAAGCTTAAAAATAAAACGAATAGTAACACGCATTATGAGAAATAAGACTTTCTGGAATATTCATTTAAATGTTTAATTAAAATATTATCTCATTACTGTTTGTTATTTTATCTCATCGGCCCGTGATCATTGCTGCAAAGTAACCGAAACATCGGGAGTATGTAGTCTGACATAATAAAATCCGAAAATATTACTTTTATTTAATGAAAGCCATCTTTAAACGTCATTCAGGTGACATAAAGCATCTGTACCATATATTATATACGTCTCATGTCTGTGTGTGTGTGCATGTATGTGTAATGTATATAATATTTGTAGGCTGTACGCGGTCGTATGCAGCGTGTATGCAAATGTCACGGTATGTCTGGTTCGTGTTCAGTACGTGTTTGTTGGCGTCGTCTACCACCTTTGAGAGCAGTTGCTGATGCTTTATCCACGAGATACGAGGGAGCTAGTCATGTTAAGGTAAAATTAATATTACGATTATAACAATAACCACGTTATTTTTTACAATTTTAGTATTGGGACAAATATTTTGTGTTGAATGTATTTCTTTGATCCAAAAAATTTCACAAAAAACTTGTCTTTATATGTATTATGATGTATACAGGGTGACTGGTGAATTACTATCAATATTTAAGGAGAATACTCGGTACATGATTCTCATTCGAATTATGTAAAAAAAATAGGCACTTAATTTTTGACAAAATTTCCGTATAAATAAGTAAAGTGTTGACACGTTCCAAGTGTTCAAGTGTGGACGCGTGCGGCGGCGTGCTGATACAACACTACGTCACGACACGCGTATGTGTGAGTGTCAGTGTATACCTAATCTGTAGGGTGTTCACACGATGCGTAATTAATTACATAACTTTTGGTTAACTTTACTTAGAAGTTTATTAATATTTATGTTATATTAATTTTTATTTCGTCATATATGATCGTCAAATATCACGTCCTCAAATATCGATAGTAATTCACCAGTCACCCTGTATATGTATGTATGTTGTTCAGTTTGTAATTTGATCGTAATAATGAAACTGTTAGAACAGATTTAAATGGAGAAAACACTTAAGATTTTATTATTATATATTTGTTATGCTTTAAAATAACAAAGTCAGTGGTGGCCTAGTGGTTAAAAAGCCCGCCTCTCATGCACGAGGGCGCGGATTCGATCCTGGCAAGTACCAATGTGATTATTCCGAGTCATATGTACTTTCTAAGAGTATTTAGACATCACTGATTAAGGCATTCCCAAAGAGGGTTCATGTCAGGCAGGCGGCCGGTCGTAAAAACAATTAGCCAAAACTATACACAACATGTAAGGCAGACCCTGGCTAAAACTGGGAAATTGCCAGGTAGAAGAAGAAGATGCTTTAAAATGACATGAAATTTTATTGCTTATAAATCATGTCGCATATTACAGGTTGTTGAAAGAAAAAAAGGGAAGAATATTCGGAAATTGAGACCAATCCATCCGGACATGAAGAAACCAAATAAAACCGATTTAGTTTATTTGGAAGAATCACCGGATTATTGCGAGCCAAATGAAGAGTGAGTATACAACAAATTATATAAACCTGTGTATTTATGCCACAAAATTCGAATTAATGCTAATTCTTCTAGAAGTTTTTACTCTATCTTTCAAAGTAAATTTGGTCTAGTGAAGCCTTTATATTATTTAGCTTATGACTTCAAAAACTTCATTCATTACAAGACAACTTTCATCCAATTCCACTCCATCCAAACTTCAAAGTAAACAGTCATAATGAAATCTAAGATTTTCGCGAGTACTCATTCAAATGAAACTAATATTCTCGGATTTTACTTCGCGTTTTATTTTTGATTAGAAACTACATACTCCCGACGTTTCGGTTACTTTTCTGTTTTCAGTTTCTAGTCAAAAATAAAACGCGAAGTAAAATATGAAAATAACAGTTTCATTTCGGTCATAATGTTTCATTTTCATTTAAGTCATAATGTCAGCCTAATTAAAAATAAAACGTGAACTAAAATCCGAAAATAATAGTTTCATTTCAGTCATAATGTTTCATTTTCATTTAAGTCATAATGTCAGCCTAATCAAAAATAAAACGTGAACTAAAATCCGAAAATAATAGTTTCATTTAAGTCATAATGTCAGCCTAATGATCTAATTTTTCATTCAGACTAGGCATTCTTGGTACACGTTCTCGAACCTGCAACCGTACATCAGCTGGTTTAGATGGTTGCCGGTTATTATGCTGCGGGCGAGGTTACCAGACTCGTGTACGAGATCACGAGGAGAAGTGCCGCTGCCGATTCGTTTGGTGCTGTCGAGTACACTGTGAAATATGCCGCTCCAAACGTGATCATCACGTATGCAATTAGTGATAATAAGGACTTGTTTCCATTTTATAAACATCCATTTAATAATTATCGTAAATGTAATGGTTATTATTATTTTGAAGGGCTTTGTTTATTTTGGGTTGCCATATTTTATTCTGACCTTCTTTTAATATAAAATGCTTTGAAATTTCGACGGATTTCTATTTGTACCAATGTTTCTCTTATGGTCTATATGTGGTGTAACAGGATTATCCTTTATACATTTCTCTCCTATTTTTAGTTTAAAGTCGAATTACTTATATACATTTGCATTTGAGATTATGATAAAACAATTTGTTATATTATCATTTATATTAAAAATTTCTTTTGGTTAAGAAATGTTTGTTTGGAAGAAAAATTATTACTTACACTTTGTCTTATTAATCAAAATGTTTATTTCCTTTCCATACTGTTATCGTGCAATTGTTAGAATACTTAAATGTTTGTGATTGAGCCCTACACTTGGCAAGATTACGAAGGACTGATAATTTAGTTACTTATTATTATTTTATTAAATTAAGTTTTCTGATTGTAAGCTTTAATTTTTAACAGTATTACCAACTAATTTATTTTAATTTTATAATGTACAAAAAAATGTAAATATTCTTTTATGTTGTAGATCATTTTGATTAAGCCATTTTATTAATATATTGTCTGAATTATTAAGTTATTACAGCATTAGTTTTTATTCTATTAATCAATGTTTTCTATACGATCTCTTACCTCTTCGTATATTCAATTGTATATATAATTAATATTCACTAAATGTACTTATTAAACTTATTTTACGTTCTACCTCAGGTATATCTTTTAAACCGTCAATCGATCTTTAAAATAAGGCAGGCGTTTTTTTAGTTTATTAATTTGTTGTTGTAAATAGAATTTAAAATAAGGTGTAGTAATTTATTATATTAGATTGTGATAGTTTTATAATTAAGATATCGGATGGTGAGGTAGCGTTTAATTAATTTATAAAATATTTTCTACTCTTGCATTTTAGAATTCGATATTGTAAATAATCTTTAGTTTTTAATTGTATATCGTGGATTACCATTTTATGAATTTTACATGTGTATTAACAATTTTCAGTAAAATGCATATATACATAGAAACGTCTAAAAAGCTTTCAATGAACTTATCTTTTGGCAATAAGCATAAGAGGTACCGCAAAGTCGTACTTTTGGTCCTATTAAGGTAATTAATAAGTGATGGATTTGGTGGTAATGCTTATTATGATTAAAAATCCGTGAAAATTTTCATAATAAAATATATATTAGTCTTGATCGAAGGTTCTCACAGAAATTACTGAAGGATTTAAGTGAATTTACTCAAAGATGACACAGTAAAAATAGTTGGTAAAAATCACATTGACACGAAAAACTTTATACCAAATGTATTTATTTAAGTGTGTGTACAATGACCAAATTTATACATATTATACAGTATAATTATAAAAGGTAAAGATAAAGTATGAAATTATACATATTTTGGTCATTGTATATATGAAAAGTCGAATTAGATTAGTATCTCTTTGGATATATTTAGTTACTACTTAATGTACACTGCATTAAATAAAATATCGTAAAAATATCGTTGTTTTTTTTTTGTCCAGAAAACACATTTGATTGGAAAATTACATCATATTAAAATCGATTTCTTACGCTTTTTTTAAAAGAATCTGTTATGCAATTACAAAATAAGTGTAATTTAAAAAACACATGAATAAATATATATTTATGCGTACAAGTAAATTTCTACAGAACTAAATAATTAACATGTGAAATCCAAAGAATGATGTGTACAAAATCCTTTAGTTTTATACCGAATACATAATAAATACTAGATACGGCTTATAAATATTCAAAATTTATATTGAAAGAATACAAATATTGAAATTTAAAAGTCTTTACATTTTAAATTTCATAAAACAAAACTTATTATAGTTCATACTAAAGAACTATGCCTGTATTCACAAAAAAATCTGGTTGAAAATTCTGATTGAATAGAATAGAATTGAATAGAATAATAACTATAAAAGTCAGTTTTGGCCTAGTGGTTAAACAGGACGCCTCTCCTGCATGAGGGCGCGGGTTCGATCCTGGCAAGTACAAATGTGATTTTTCCGAGTCATATGTACTTTCTAAGAGTATTTAGACATCACTGATTAATTGGATTCCCAAAAGAGGGTTGATGTCATGCACACAGCCGGTGGTAAAAATAATTAGCCAAAACTGTTCACAACATGTAAGGCAGCCCCTGGCTAAAGCTGGGAAATTGCCAGGTAGAAGAAGAAGAGCATGTACATGTATGTAAGAGTAGGTATATTTAATGTATGTTTCAAACCTCTCCATTCAATGCCTCAAGTAAAAACAATGAACATCACAAATAGCATTCTTTTGTCTTCATATTGGCAGACCTATCACGGGATATTACATCATGTGAGTCGGGAAGAAACTGACGCAAACAATTACATCATGTAGGAGTCGCTTGTTCGACACCAGATTATAGAATGAGTTACAATGATATGCACTTACCTCCCACCGGTCTCAGTGCTCATATAAATCTAAAGGTGATTAGCATTGCACTAGACGAGGTGTAAAGCTATTTGTACCCTATAAGCTTCGTCATTAATAAACTATTCTTTTTAAGCTAAAGTATAGTATTACTTTTACTATACATGTCTAGATATATATGTTTGTTGTGTGAAGCGTCCTCTATTAAAAACTGCAAAGATTATAAGTCGCCAATAGCGAACTGTTCAAATACTTTTCTGTTTCTACACTCACTCAACACGGAAGGTACTTCTACTTATCAACAATAGATGGCGCTATTTTAAAACTCTTATATTATTGCAAATAAATATTTTATTATATTAAGAATTAATTAAATTTGTTTATCTCACTACCGTGTTAATCAAACATTTAAAATAATAGATACAGATAAAGTAATTGTATTTATATTGTAATTATTCCAAAGATGGCGTTAGTTGTAATGAATAGTACATAGTTATATCAATAAACTTTACAAGTCTATAAATCTGTAGGACTTACTCAAGCTTGATTTTAAACTGTAATTACTTTTTAAATAAAACTTATAACGTCAAATCATTTTCACACATTTAAAAGAATTGCCCTAGTATTAATGAAATTGCTTCAGTAATTGAGTAATTTTGAGATAGTAATTTTGAGATGCCTTTTAATTTTATTATGGTCTTGATATACCTACTGTTGTTATTGTTTAGTACTAATACATAGTTATCTCCTGTATTGGAATTTGTTAACTGTAATAATTGGCAATCCCGTCATGTTGTGCATGCACCCTTAGGATTATAATCTGTTCGATACTATTAATATTTAAGAAATATTCTCTATGTGATTGTGACCTGTTGTGTTTGCCTTAATAAATAAATAAATCAAAAAATAGATTTAATATTACTATGACCTAAATGTGACTAGAATAAAAGGTTTTTTGTCATTAAAATATAGATCGGAAATATAGTGGTAGTGATGTATTGTTAAAAGAAAAATATACATAAGAAATTTGTGGCTTTAGAATAATAGAAAGAGGTTAAAATAATAACGTTTTTGATTCTTTATTTGTAATACATGGTATATATTTTTTCTTAATTAAAAATCTCTTTTTTCACTGGGAATAAATAAAATATATTTTTCTATAATATCCAGTACTATAATATACCCTAAATTTGCCGAGCGTTCACGAAGAAAACCGAATATACCCGAATGCGGGTGACGTCATAATGTTTATGAATTTATAGTCGTTGCAGTACACACAAGATACAATTTAGTAAATCTTAATCTATTAAACAATGTTATTCTGGTGACTTTATTATACTGTAAAAAAACTCAAGCCTGCATCATTACAAAAAACAAAACTCAATGTCACTATTTGATCGCATTACTGTTTAATTTATAATCTAAATGTATTTACCAAAAAAAAAAAACTGAAACATTAAATGCGGGTGAATACTAGGTACAAGTAAACATGAATTCTAGTCCATGGATATTGATCTAAAAACAACTGAATATACTAACAAATACATCTTATCTTATGTTGGATAAGTTTTGTTATCTTGACGGCACCAAGATTACTTGATTTAGTTGTAACACACCTCTTTGAAGATATACTGCTATTTAGTAAAAGTTACCAAAAAATAAAGTAATAATTAATACAAAACAATAGTGAAGAACAAACGGCTTGTTAATAAAGTGCGGACACAGCTTCAAAAAAATGTTTACATATAAATAATAAAACAAGTGCTGTAATTGTAAACAAGTAAACAATGAACAGCAATGATTGTGAACGAAGAGGCAGTAGAAGTCGAGCTCTTACAAGATCATTAAGCTATTCAGAAGCTATTGGAAATAGATCTGGGAGATCATCGATTGAAATACCAAGCATTGTAAACACAGAGGTTTACACGAATGAAGATATCAAGAAACAGTATAGAATATCACAGACGTATGTAGAGGGCAAGGAAATAACATTCACGAATTATGACCCAAATAACTTGAAGGAATTACAGCTAGAAGAATACAGCTCGCAATATACTACTGATGATGAAAAGACCGATGATGGTCTGGTAATGACTATAGACATTGATGTTGAAAGTCCAAAATCATCGGATAAAAGAAATACATCTGACGCATCAACACAACCTCTGGTCTACTCGAATGTATCTTCCAATGATTATGATACTATAGAAACCATTAATAGCTTTAATACAGGAGAATCAATAATCCAGAACCAAGCACACACACATTCATATACAAGACGTAGAAGAGGAAAAAAATGCAGGTAGGACCTTCAACTAGCTAATGTATTAGTAATTACTCTCACTATTCTTTGTCCGTAGATAATTTTAACGATTTAAGGAAGCGTTTAAGTTTTATAGATCATTGATGTTTATAAACAAAATTTATTGTGCAGGCAGCAGTAGTTTTGTGACACACCTTGACATACATTAAATAATGACCTTGACAGAAAACGCAAATCAGCTTTCTTCACAAATAGACCGATTTTTATGTTTTACCCATCAATTGAAACATTAAAAACAGAGCTAATATATGCCCCAAGAAGGTATTAAAAAATCTCACTAATAGAAAGGTCATGAAATAAATAGTAGTAAGTTTTGAGGATGGAATATGTTTCTAGAATAAAATTTTTGATAAATAGAAATAGGATATGAATAATAAATTTTCCAAAAGTAGATAATTCGATAAAAATTATCATTCAATTTGATAAGATTAAGCAATATTTATTTGTTTTCAGTTTGACATAGTTTATATAATCTTATTTGATTTGTCGATAGTCTATTGTTTTAACTTTAAAAATAACAATACCGTTTTTGTTTAAATTTATCAATTTGTAACTCGAACTATACTAGTGTAGATTATTACTCACCAAAAACATGCCTGTTAAAAAGGGGGCCAAGTTCCAATCGGCTAATTGTTTGCCTAAAAAAGGGGTGAAATCCAATCTAATGCCAAGTTTAGATGCACTTTGAAATCGATCATAATCATCTTCATCAACAGCATGATCCACTGGTAAACATTTGCCATTCCCAAGACTCGCCACCACACCCAGTCCTCTGCCTTCCACATCCAGCCACTACCCGCCACCTTATTCACGTCAACGGTCCATCTGGCCGAAATTCACTTTACCATACACCCAACTTAAAATATGGTATAGTTGTGAAAATACGTAGGTGCTTGGTTAAAAATATCTAAAATTATAATACTTCTAAATTTGAACTTGGCAGGTTAATTTAATTATTTAAATTATATAATATTTAAATTATATAAATATAAATAATTATATAGCTAAATAATAAATTAATGATACAATTAATTAAGTGTTACGTACAGCACAAAAACCTGCCAAGTTCAAATTGAGAAGTATTATAATTTTAACCAAGCACCTACGTATTTTCACAACTATACCATATTTTAAGTTGGGTGTATGGTAAAGTGAATTTCGGCCAGATGGACCGTTGACGTGAATAAGGTGGCGGGTAGTGGCTGGATGTGGAAGGCAGAGGACTGGGTGTGGTGGCGAGTCTTGGGAATGGCAAATGTTTACCAGTGGATCATGCTGTTGATGAAGATGATTATGATCGATTTCAAAGTGCATCTAAACTTGGCATTAGATTGGATTTCACCCCTTTTTTAGGCAAACAATTAGCCGATTGGAACTTGGCCCCCTTTTTAACAGGCATGTTTTTGGTGAGATTTCAATACTTTTTTTCAAGAAATCGTACATACTATCGTACTATACAGCCGTATAATGCATAACTTACAGCATGAAACATACAGCTACCATCTGATGGCATAGGAATTACCCTATGTGGTATATCTCCGCCAACCACCGAAAGATGTACAATTTCCATCGTTGGTAAATGAATAGTAGAAAAGAAATAGAGTGAATTTGTGCTTTTAACACACACAAGTAATCAATCAATAAGCAATATCAAAATTAATCCTTTAGCAAGTCAAATCAGTGATCCATTTAATCGTAATCGTAACCATATATAAGATATCAAGACATAAGTGTAGAAAGAAATAGAAAGAAATGACCATCGATTCCTTATCGACTTTCATTCATATATACTGCAGACAAAACAATATCGCGATTCAATTATACCGCTAGCGCCATCTATCGAAAGTAATTTATAACAATAGAAACCTGATTTTTTAGGTAAGCAATATTTAATTAAGTTATACAGTGTGCATTATGTATACATGACAATATTTTATATCTCTTATATATATATCAGTTCTTAAGAAGCGCCTCACACTTTTTTCACAATAATATTAATTTAAAAATAAATTAACAAACAATAAATGGTATTTTTGTGAAAAAAAAGCGTGATGAGCTTCATATATCACTTCTTGAGAAGCGCCCCACGCTTTTTTTTCAATAATACCATTTATTGTTTATTTTAAACAATTTAAATTAAATGGATTTCCAAGGTTGTAAAGGTTAAATTAGTTTCCACGCGGTTTCTTTCATCATTGGAGCGTGTTTTTTAATTTTTTTTTAAACTATTTTTTTTTTTATTTTTTAGTTTCATTTATCACCGATTGATAGATGTACTCATATTATTAATTATTAATATTTCATTATTATGTATTTTATTGTGCTGAGCTGAGCGCCTATATAAAGGTTTTGATTACCTGTCAGTGAGTCAGTGCCAAAATTAGCTATTTTCACAGGGTCATATTTCAGGATCTACTAAAGCTTTATCTATGAAATTTGGCATACTGCTTTAAGACTAGTATATGATTACGTAGGTACAATTTTATCTCTGTAGTTGCAATAGACACTGAGCTACAGGGGGTCAAAAGTGGGTCGAATTTATTAAAAATTCGATATTTAGAATTGAGGCACCTCACGCTTGACCGATTTCTTAAATTTCTTAATTTTTTGTTAATCTACATATAACACACAACCTGTGTACCAAATTTCATAATGCTAAAACAATGGGAAGTGGCCTAGAGGTTTTGATTACCTGTCAGTGAGTCAGTGCCAAAATTAGCTATTTTCACAGGGTCATATTTCAGGATCTACTGAAGCTTTATCTATGAAATTTGGCATACTGCTTTAGTTCTAGTATATGATTACGTAGGTAAAATTTTATCTCTGTACTTGCAATAGGCACTGAGCTACAGGGGGGTCAAAAGTGGGTCGAAACGGTTCGTGTAAATATAGTGCACGGCATGCGCCGGCCTGTGGAACTTGGCCGGCGCACTACCGTGCGCTTAGATTCAAAAATGATCTCAAGTTTGGATGAAGTTCTGTTTCAAGAGGACAAACGATAAAAAAAATAGATAATTTCTATTCTGATTCCTTCTATTTATACCATTAACATGTTCTACAAACAACGTTTTAATTTTAGTTAGGAAATGTATAAAATAAAAGAGAATATAAAATGTAAATTAATATACAAACTATTGAGGAATAAACATGATAAGGTTTATCCATCATTTATGTTTTTTTTTTTTTTATTAAAGAAAGCTCTTTTATTATTTGATTATTTGTTTTAACGAAACGAATTAAACATATTTTTTCTATATTAACAGCAACTGGTATGATTATAATAATTAAAATACTAGGATCAATCCGATCATGTTTATTTGACTTCGTTTAAGTTTCAATCATTTTGCACTAGCCATAGCCAAAGGCTAATTTCATAGATATTATAAAAAATACATTGTTTCTATGACAGACGTCAACACGGACGGCCGGTACGATCTAGGAGGGTAGTTAATAAATCCGGAGAAGAGAATGTACCAGTAAGGAGTAACATACCATCGAAGTCAATAAAATATATGAGAGATATTGTCAACACCGTGGTACGTAATAATTATACCAAAGTATTATTCAGTCTCACTTATTGAAGAAAATATTGTGATTTTATGACATAATATTATAAATAAAAAACTCTTTAGTTGCATGAAAGACTATGAATTGTGTGTGTTTAGTTTAAGATACAAATATATAGTAAGTATATTGATTATGTTTTTACGAGAGAGGTGTCAAACGAGCAGACGGCAGTAGTCAGCGTCGGTCTTGGATATACACAATATTAATAGTTTCTATTTTCATTTCAGATCAATAGTAAATGGCGATTCATAATATTTATGATGTTCGCATCACATTTTATATTCTGGTTCTTTTTCGCTGGTGTCTGGTACGGAGTATCTTCGTCATATCAAGACGACATCGGTGATGGAAAAGAACATTGTGTGACTGGTACCTCGTCATTCGCTGGACTTCTTATGATGTCTGTAGAAACTCAGGTTGAGTGCAAAAATGTTTTATAGTCTCCATATAGTATATAATCACAATATAATGATAATTGCTTTTGAATACCTTTTTCAAGGAATCTAATTGCTTGTCTATAAGTGTAATATAAATATCGCTTATATTTTGACATCTCAAAATGTTTAAAGAACATTTTAGTCAAGAAAAATTTGTATTAAATTAATATAATCAACTCTTTTCTACTATATAAAAAAATTATCTTGGTACGTATATTATATAGCTACATAACATTTAATAATTTTCAGATGACTATCGGCTACGGTGTAAGATATCCAAATGAAGAATGTCCGGAGGCCATTTTAATAATGGTTCTAGAAGTAAGTATATATTTTTTTGTTTTAAGTATGAATTTCTTTGAGAGATATTAAGAAAAATAACATAATGCTACTCGGGTTCCAAATTCGAAAATAAACGTAAAAAATCATTTTTATATACACCACAATTACCTGTATATCTTTAAGAAGCTGGCAGGTAATAAGACATTGCTTTACCTGATAAAAACTTATTACATATTAATAAAAACTTACTTATAACAATCACAATACAATTTCTTCATCTTAACTGAAACTTAATTAGATATAAGCCACAGAAGTACGAGATCAAAATTATTAATTCTGTAATAATTATTACAGATTATTGCTGGGACTGCGCTGTCAGGAGGTCTATCTAGTTTGCTTTTTACTAAACTAGTTCGTCCCAATAGACATGTGTCTTCTGTGGGTTTCAGCAAAAAAGCCACTGTAAGTATAATTACGAACGAAAAACAATATATACTTTTATGAATTTTATCCCATTTGATATTTTTTGAATTTAGTTTGGGACCTTATTACTATATTGAGGTTTAAAAGGAATTTCTTCTTCCATTAATGGAGTATACAGTGACTGATAAAATAGGGGTCACGATATCCAACTATAAGTACACTTTCAGACAGTCTGATATATATTTTTTTATCTTTAAAGGTATGTCTTCGCGATGGTGAGCTCTGCCTTCAGTTTAGAGTGTGGGATTTACTTAATCTGCATTTAATTGGAAGTACCATTACAGCGTATATGCTGAAACAAATAAAGTGAGCTATAGTGCGTTTGATTTAAGCTGAGCTTTGCATTTGTGTGAGTGCACACGGATATTGTAGATTTGATGTCAAAATTTTGAATGCCAAATTCTTTTCTAGTTTTGAACCGGTTTTTTCAGCTTTTACTTCGCCCCGCACCTTCCGCACTTCACCCTTTGTACTGGTAGCAAAATCAAATGTTGAAAACGCAATGTCAAGTGAATAAGAAGAATTTGTATATTTTTTCCAAATTTTTATTAAACTATAATTTTTCCATATTATTCATAGTATTTCTATTTGGTATTTTACAAGTTTTGCTTATTTTATAGTGCTTATGTTATGTATCTGTATAAAATATGATGAAATTGAATTCTAAAAGTTTTTTGTCTAACTCTACTTTTACTTTCACTCACACAAATGCAAAGCTCAGCTTAAGTCTTACGGAATATAATATATTTAATATAATATTCAAAATATTCTCCAAAACTGATTTAAATTTCTACATTTTTCAGAACTCTAGAAGGAGAACTCGTGACGAACTATATTCATCAACTTAAATTGAAGGAAGCGAGGGCTTTTCTTCTATGGCCCATAACGGTCGTACATGTGATAGATCATGAAAGTCCTCTTTACGATTTATCAGCGCAGGATATGATAGACTATAGGTAAATAAATATTTTATCATTATATCAGGAGACAGACACATGACATTATTCCTAATGTCTACAATGCTTGCTATAAGTTGAATACTTTCTGATTTATTTGTACAAATATATGTATAATATGTACTCGTATGTTAGATGTAATTTTTGGCCTAATCAAAGAAGAAAATAGTAAGAAAGTATGTAACAATAAATTCTATCTCGGCTCGTCCTAAAAATGAAAATTATCATATTTAAAGCAATATTTTATCTATACTGTGATCATTACTTAAGATTATTAGGGTGTAAAATACAGTGTTCCCTCAAGTCATTATTAGTATTCTATATTCTAGAATACACAAAAATTCAATATTGAGGAACTGAAAGATATATTTAATGTGTTTTAATTCCATCTCTTGTTTCAAAGGTTTGAAATAGTCGTGTGTTTGACCGGCTCTTCAAAAAATATGGGAACAGTCACACAAAGTAGAACATCGTATTTATCGAAAGAAATAATTTGGGGATATCGTTTTAAAAACGTTTTGGAGTAAGTTTTTTAATACACCTTATTTGAAAATACTGTTAACTATGTCTATATGTGCTTAACGATTTCCGGACTAACAAAAAAACATTTGTATTTCCTTTTAAGATAAAAAGACACTTGCAAACCTGTAATTTTTACCAATAATAATTGTAACCAATTAAATTCTAGATACTGCAGAAAGGAAGAGGCATATAAAATAGATCTAGACGGATTGAATACAGTGGAACAAGTTGAAACGCCTTTATGTAGCGCAAGTCGTCTTAAAGAATTTGAGGAAGATATAAAATCGGAACAGCTTTTAGCAACGCCAACCAATAGGTCGTTGTCACCAACAAATGTTTCTCTAAGTCAAGAAGAATCATCCACTTTATATGGAGTGGATGATTCCCTACCTTCTAGCGCAAATAACTCCACAACCGCCACACAGAGGAGTAATGGTTGGCATTTTAGAAGATACTATCCCCAAAACATGAAAGAACACGGTGTACATACATTAGTATCGGCTAAAGCAGTTGAATTGTAATTTTAATGTTCTATCAAAATAAAAATCACATAAGCAAAAATCTGTATTATTTATGCATTTAGAAAAACTATTTAAAATTAGTCTCGATAACTATTAAAAGTGGATTGGCGTATTGTAATTTTTATATATGTTTTATTTGCTGTGTTTTCAAAGAGATTGAACAAAAATATGAATTAAATAATAGTTTAACCCGTAGTTAGTATATAACATATGATATTACATTTTTGAATTTTATTATATGTCTATGATACGAGGGGAGGTCAATAAGTTCGCGGAATGAGCGGGAAGGGGGTTGAAATTTAACACGAAACTATTTTTTCTTTTCAATATAGTCTCCCTTAACCTTAATACATTTTTCGGATCTCACAAATAATTTATTAATACATTCGAAAAAAATTATTTATCTTGGCTATCAAAATAGACTTTACTTCTCAAATATTTTTCACCGCAGCTTTTTTTTCATTTTTGAAAACAAATAATAGTCGCTGGGGACTAAGTCTAGACTGTAAGGTGGGTGGTGTAGTTTTTCGAGTCCGCATCGGTGAATGGCAGCCGTCGCAACATGGCACGTGTGGACTGTTGCGTTGTCGTGCAAAAGGAGCACACCTTTTGACAGCTTTCCTCTTCTTTTTTCCTTGATAGCTTCTTTCAATCTATCTAATAAAGAAGCGTAGTACTGTCCTGTTATAGTCACACCACGATCTTTATAATTGATCAGCAAAATACCTTCTGTATTCCAAAAGACAGTCGCCATGATCTTTCCGGCCGATTGTGACACTTTAAACTTCTTTGGAGGAGCTGTGCCTTTTTTATACCACTGTATCGATTCTTGCTTCGATTCAGGTTCATAGTGGTGAACCTAGGTTTCGTCACCAGTAAAAATCCGGTCCATAACTTCGTCCTTATTCTCTCCACAGAGCTTCAAAAACTGGCGAGAACACTCGACACGCTCGCTCTTTTGAAGTGGCGTGAGCATTCTTGGAACCCATCTTGCACTGACCTTAGTCATCCCAAGATGATGATGTAGGATATTTAAAATGCTTTTTTCGGATACTCTAACCATTGCTCCAAGCCGTTTCTTCTTCAACCGGGCATCTTCCAATATAAGTTTTTCTACTTTTGCGACGATTTTCGGTGTGGTGGCCTCAATCGGTCGTCCGGAGCGGGGGTCATCTTCAATGGACTCTCTTCTTTGTTTAAAAAGTCCATGCCACTTGTAAACCATGGTTTTACCAGGGGCAAAGTCCGCGTAAACTGATAACAGCTCTTCAAAAATTATCTGAGCGGATTTTCCTTGCTTGGTGAGGAACTTAATAACGGCGCGGTGTTCAATTTTCTCCATACTCACTGACTTCTTCCCGATTCAATTGTTTGCAGGTCAACAACTCAAAAGTTAATGACCCGATTTGGTTCAAACTTGGTATATATACTATTAATGAGGTGTTGAACAAGTTACTACCTGGACGAGTAAATCAACCCCCTCCATCCCCTCCATTCCGCGAACTTTTTGACCTCCCCTCGTATTTATTAATCATCTTACTTTAGAAATTTACTTAGACGACAAAAAACTAGACAAAATTAATATATTTATTTACAGCCTTTATGTGAAATAAAGCACAAATCCAAAGTTATTATTATTGTAAACGCATATTAAAGTTTGGTTTGAATTTAATTTATTTTTAAAATACAGCAATAATATTTGTAGTACATATAGAGATTACTGAGTCTTTTACCAAGAAGTTAGATGTAAAGGCAAGCTTTTGCCTGGTTAAACGACCAACCTCTTCTTCTTCCTGCCCTGGTCCCACTTTATGTAGGGTCGGCACAACATGTTCTTCTCTTCCAGTCTCGCCTATAAACCTCATTGGTTACCCTTCTCTTAGCCATGTCGTCCTTCACGCAATCCATCCATCTTTTCTTAGATCCACCTCGACCCACATATACCTCCCCATTCATATCTAACACTAGCTTTTGCCGCGACTTCGTCTGCGTGGAATAGTGACTTCCGGCAGATTTTTGGTTCTTCCCACATAGTTCCCGTTCTTGCGGGGTTTTCGGAATGGTCGAGTTCCCGTAGAATTTTCAGGATAAAACCTATGTTTTTTTTTATTCACAATGAAGTACTCTTAACCAACAACATATTTATTTGTTTATTTGAATAAAGATTAATATTATTATGTTGATACAACTTAAACAAATTATTTCGACCAAATTAGGTACCATAAAAACCGTTTTTGTGAGTTAATCTTAAAAGATAGACATATACTGTCGCTGATTGTTTTTTAGATCATTAAAAGAGCTATTATTCTTTCATACATATTTTTTTTGTATCTTGAACCGTTTTCACGGCGCACGCAACGGAAGGCTTCAAAGATGAAATAATTTCTCCCGTTTTTTACACATTTACCACTATATCTTTGCTCCTATTGGTCGTAACGTGATGTTATATAGCCCACAGCCTTCCTCGATAACTGGACTATCCAACACAAAAAGAATTATTCAATTCGAACAAGTAGTTTCAGAGATCAGCGCTTTCAAACAAACAAACAAACAAACAAACAAACAAACTCTTCAGCTTTATAATATTAGTATAGATTCTTCTTGTTATATGACATTCATCCCTTCGCATAATATGTCAATACCACGTTAATCTATTACTTTTAAACGACCAACCAACACAACTTTAAATCCCAATACTCAATGGATTAGGCTTATCAAATACTTGTACATATATTTCATAGAAAAATTGTTTTGTAAGAAGCGATAAAGGTGACCAATAAGACAAGTCATATTACAATGAAATACATTATTATATTAAAAAGTTCAACAAACGCTCAAGAATTGTGAAATATTCCGATGTGTATGTAGGGCAGATGTGTTTTGACTTAATAGTAAACAATAATGCATTATCAATGACAACATTAATACTGTTTTTATAAGAACAAACAATTATATTTTACGTTGATTCTTATAAAAAGTATTTGTAATTTATCTTATTCCAAGTATATATATATATATATATATATGTATATATATATATAATATATATATATATATATATATATATATATATATATATATATATATATATATATATATATATATCTCTTTAATGATTTTAAAATACGTATTAATATTAATTCAAAATTATAAATGAGTTTTACTTGAGAAGTTCATTAAAATATTTAAAAGTACCAAATAATATTTGTATATAATGAAAATAACATAAATATATAGTCAGTGATGGCCTTGTGGTTAAAAGGCCCATGCAAGCACGAGGGCGCGGGTTCGATCCTGGCAAGTACCAACGTGATTTTTCTGAGGCATATGTATGTACTTTCTAAGAGTATTTAAACATCACTGATTAATGCATTCCCAAAGAGGGTTGATATCAGGCAGGCGGCCGGTCGTAAAAACAATTAGCTAAAACTATTCACAACATGTAATGCAGACCCTGGCTAAAGCTGGGAAATTGCCAGGTAGAAGAAGAAGAATAAAATATCATAAATATTATTGTACAGAAATTTGATGACTGTCCTTTTTTATAGTCTCGTATCCGATATAAATAGAATAACTGATACATTATCAGAATAAGTTAAAGATATAAAAAATATAGTTTGATTGTACTCTCTTAGAAAATTAGAAAGAAATAAAAGCATTAGTCACATAAATAGCTACAAAATAGAATGCTATTTACGACATTCTGTAACAACATAGAAAAATAGTCTATTATATAAAAAAATATTTTTGTAAATATTAATCAATTATATAGAGACGAAACCTCTTAGCATTCAATGGATTCACCGTGCGGGTGCCGGGTCCATCGCGTTGCAGGGAGAGGAGCTTCAACAGTGCCTGGGACTTGCGACCCAGGTGTAGGTTTAAGGGGCCCCTTAACTAAAATATTAAATCGTAATTCAATGATTATAATCTCAAGTACATTGTTTGTAATTTCTGAACAAAAGTATAAGCGTAAAATAAATTATTTTTATTCCTAATATACAATCAAAGTTAAATAATAGATAACCCCTTGGACCCGACACACGTATATGAATACATTGAATGATGAGAAGTTTCGTCTCTCTTACGTAATATAAAAGTTTACTATTAAACAATAATTTACAGTCCTACATTAAAAATGAACGTGATGTATTATTAATGAACGATATGCTGACTAAGACTGTTTTGGTCACAGCAAAACATTGTTTACGTTAAAACTACTTCGGTATTAAATTTAACATCCTGACCTGAATAATCATATTGACAAAATATTTTTGTAGTACTGTAATTATTAAATAGAACCAGCTATATACCAAAATTATCTTGAAAAATTAGGATAACAATTCATTTTTCTCAATATAAACATATAATAAAATTTTGTTATACTTAAAATAAATAATGATGTTTAAACAAATAATTTAAAAAATAATTCAACAGACTGGATACGGACAATTTTTATCAAACAATAAGTATATTTATATGAAGATCTTGAAATACCTATATTTACGAAAATTGTTTATTATATTAACTAGTTACTTTCTTTTAGAAATAAACTCTTCATTTCAACTTCACTTTATGAAATATTCTTTCAACGTTGTTCAATTCTCTTAAATAAGTGATAAGCGTGTGATATAAATAAACTTACGTTTCCATAGAGAATATTTAAGTCATCATTTGATGCTTGAATTTGTAATATAAAAATCTGAGAAAAGACACAAGATTTTATTTGATATTATAAAACGAAGATATTTACTTTATAATTATAATTCTTACGTTTCAACTGCTTAGTACATTGTTCTTCAAACAATGCAACAACTGTAGTAAAAATATTGAAATAACATTATCAAAGCAATATTTTAATGATATTAAAAAGAGGTCAGTTGAGTTAACTTAGTTAAAAAATTCTTCCGAATCCCGTTGAAATAATAATGATAAATCAACAAAGTTGAACACGATTTGATAACAATATATAAAACAGAGTTTAGACTACAATAAGTTAT